AACTTTTATATTGTCGTTCCAATATTATTAATTTAAAGAAATAAACTACGAATGACCTTCTTATCATGACTACTGAAACTTGTTATGAATAGTTTCTGTAARTAAATATCACTGGTGCCATGCAGATCAACAAGTGATCTGGTTCCTGGTCGATGTTTGAACTCCCGGTCCAACCACGATTCCGTACCATATACWACTATTTGGATGAGCAAATGACAACTTTGTTGGTCGCTTTGCCCTCCTGGACAATAATTACTCTTTCTGTTCCACGAATGATGGAGTATYCATCTCTAATGCCAAGTTACGCAACGCATAAATATTTCATCTTCCGCTGCTTTGCTTGACAACTTTTTCAGACGTTCGYTTTTCACTCTATCCAGCTTATTTTTATGCGAACGATTACCCCTCAATGCATAAGCATGATAGYGAAATCATCGGGGTAATCCRAATATTATCCAWYCGRYGGTCCTAATTACATAAASTGTTTTGTTTTTGTYTTTAGATTRCCTCGTGAAATAATAAGTTATATGGTTTCCTCAACGGGACTGAGTCCATGCGAAGTGTTTTTCGAAATCTGAGTAAGATTTCAGAAGACRACGTCTAATCCTGGTAAATCTCTCGCCCGCCKCGCACCTGYGCCTCCAATAAATCCAAACGTGYCARCTCGTCGTCGTCRAAAATCAAAGTMGACCTYCRTYCACATCGCATGACTCTAACAATCYGAGTATTATARAAGGAGGTCATCCGAGAGGCTAGTCTCCAAACTACGACTCGGAGAGGTCGACTAAGTCCAAACAGGTGTCGAGTCTCTRTGTCCCGGATCCGGAYGACRCCGAAACGYCTACCGGRCGAGGTAATCTTGATACTCASAATGACTCGAGAGAGACATTGGAGGTTACTCGCGCGRTGGAAATACAAAGTATAACCGTACAGCTCATCRGAAGTTCGAGCCGTGTTGGCTCTGAAATCCGCGCGAGTCTTAGGGAAAAATCCCTCGCCACTTCGAAGYAGTCCAATGAAGCCGAACCAGTCGATAGGAGATCCATCTCGTACTCGTAAAAGTCGMRCTGCACTCCTGATRAGATCCTCCTCGGRTGTATCGCGAACCAGCWGATACCTCGGGAWTGTCAAGTCTCGTCGTGCTCCAKGCATCKGCATATCAGRACGAATCCAAATTAGTYGCGTAAAAACTCCTCGAGTTTTTCAGCTTCATCTTCCAAATCATCATCATATAATGCTTCGGCTCYTATAATAGCGAACCTATTRRCACGTATCCGCTCTGCRTAGTATATGCCAAAGAACGGGCSTTGTCGCTCATTTAGCCAAAGMACGTAACGAATGAACGTCAACCTTATTTCAGGGATCTCGTCCACCCSWGGATTGAGTTCGTATGRCTRCAATACCACMAAGTTCATATTAACGAAGTGACGTTTGGRCAATGGCGGCGCGAACTCGTAGTGAATAACRTCCAAGYCGGYYGGTSTCCTGAAAATAAGCCGTCTGGGGGKTCTCTGCGCACTGCCATCCCAAAACCGMGRAACGTCCTCCTCTKAGTACAGCTCTGACGGATTGTAAACAAGKCTGCCTATCCTTTCTACTCTTTCTCCATTACGCCTTTGGATTTCAACCCTTTCGGCCGCCGAATTGCGGTTGTAGAAAAGGAACAAGTCCATGGATCCCGCAGCCATCTGAAAGAARAGGGAAGACGAATGTGATCAAGTTAAAAYTAAGYATCACTTAAAACATTWGTCTTCCTTCTGGCCCGTGCTTCTTATGGCACGACCAACCTCGTCAGGAGTATCTAAATGTACTCCGTCCAGCTAGTGGAACATGAGTCGGGCTGCTTGTGGCGCCAACTCTCCATATGTTAGTGGTACCTAGGATGACAACTTAAACAGGATTGCTAAGGCAATTTTCCTTTTTCGAAAAGCGTCAAGAAATAAATTTTCTCCTGTGTGGATGCCTTTTCCATTACCCTAAGAGGTGGTCTGGGATACTCCTTCTCCTCGCCCGAGTACAAATTTCGGATTTCAGAAGTCGGACCGTCTCCACCGAATCGGCATAGTACCTCCCCGCAAAGCGGTCCACTTTGAGTCGATAACAGGGCCGACCCCTAAGGCAACGAACCCCCGCCCCAGATGCCTCCTAGAAAAACGGAAAAACACCTACACGACAGACAAGTAGAGTCTTGCCGCCTAGCGTCAAAATAAACTTAGACGAAGAAAGAGGAATCGTAGAAAAATAGAATCATTCAGACTGACAGGCATAGATGGAAGAGGGTTATTCGAGAAAGAATGAGTAACCTCAGGAATAAGTCTAAACCAAGTTGAATTTCTCTTCCTTATGCTCGCTTCGTTTCTCGTCGTCTTCTTTTTCTTTTATTTATACATAGAACACAAGCACAAAGATGAAAAGTCAACCATTCTTTCACCGTCATTACCCTCATCCATTTCAGTTCATTTGCCGTACCTGCAGTCAAAACYCAAYGACACACARACCACCATGCATTCCTTTACCATTGTCAGACTCCCAGTCATACACGCAAGAACACACATSYTCTTCYCTTTTTCAATGAACATTCAGTGAAACAGRTCAAAGCAAGTGTGGGTTCACTCAGGTGTGAAGGGAACWGAGTCAATTTAACTRACCTTGAGTGAAGTTTTAACGGTACACCCAAGAARACCGTATAAATTTTACGCTCTCTTGACGAGAAGGTTGTCGTACCCTGTCGTCACCAAAGTGATCGACACCACTCCCTTGTGACGACGCCTCCTAGAGCACCCTCTCAACACTTAATTACTTTCCACTAATCCTGGCGGCATTTTCTAGTTACCGCCACTTGCGCCCAAAGTATGGTGTCTCCGTGGTGTCACCCTCACGTCACTTCAAAATGGAAACACCGCTTTGACGCACCTCCTCCGCTCAACGTCCCACCTCCACCTAGTGCACTGATACCGCCGTTACTGTCGTAAAGTAGCGCCGTCACTTGTAAGAATATGATGCTGACGCCGCTAAAATTTCCTGCAGCGCTTCCGCACTACCGCCATAAAAAAACGGAGTTGCCGCCGTAAAAATCCGGCAACGCTGCCGCACCACCGCTGAAAAAACCCGTGCCGCCGCAACAAAATTTTGGCAGTATTTCAGTACCTCCGCAGTAAAATCACGTGCCGCCGCAGTAGAATTCCGCCAGTCCTTCGGTACCTCCGCAGTAAAAGCATGTGTCACCGCAACAGAATTTCGGCAACACTTTTGTATTACCACAGTAAAACCACGTGCCGCCGCAACAAAATTTCGACAGCACTTCCGTACTACCGCAATAAAACCCGGGGCCGCCGCTGCAGAATTTCGGCAACACTTCCGCACTATAGTGGGAAAATTGCAAGCCAAAATTAGTAGAATTTGGCCCCCAGGCCCAAATCCCACAGCGCCGCACTGCCGCAGTCCCGCAGTACTACTGGGCCTGTCCCGTGGGACCAGCACCAGCCAGGGGTGAGGGGAGCAGAGTGCTCCCTGCCTTGGCTATGGCTGCCCATTCCTCCTCTTTGCGCTCCTCTGCAGTCCTCCAGCCTCTCCTCTCGTTGCCTCAGGCAGCAGCTCCAACAGCCAGCACTCAAGTGTGCTCGTCACACACTAGCAGCACGAGTGCAATTGTGTGGCAGTTGGGAGGCAGCTACCTTTTTTATATTGGCTGAGGAGGGCTGGACGTCACTCCAGCCCCCAGGCGAAATCGCGGGCTCACTGTGAGCCCTAGATCTGC